GCAGAGAGCAGAGTGAGGAATAATTGGATTTTGGATTGAGTAGTGCTATGAAAAAAGGCAGAAATATTGATGGAATTTTTCTAGAAAAATGTGAATGCCTTGTAATTCCTCTTGTTAATGTATAATATACTACTCTGCCCAGCAAATATCTGCAAGCTATGTCTGTAAAGGTGTGATTAGCAGTGTATGAATTTGCCTGTCTTGTGTGTTCTTAGAATTTTTTTACCTCTGGTTTGTCTCTGCCACTAATTTAGTAAACTCATCTTGGCAGAACTTTCCGTTTAACCAGCCTTCACCCCATGACTCTGAATACTACAATGTCTCAGGAATTATGAAATAAAAAGTTAAGAGCAAAATATGAGATCAAACAGTGTGAATTGATATTTTCCAAAAGGCTGGGAAGGCATGACGGTTATCTACAAGTTGGTTTAGATGTCAGAACATCTGAGCTCTATCAGTCACTGACATTAATTCCCTCTGGCACTGGGGGAACACAGCATAGTTTTGTTTTTTTTTTTTCTTAAAAGAAAAATAATCTAGTTTCAGAGTGGAAAAGGAAAAGGAGGGGAATAGGAGGGAAATAGGGATGAAGATGGCAGCTGTGTTCTCGGTGACCCAGTTATTCCCAAGTGGTGAGGACTACTATGTATGGATGCTCAGTTGGCTATGCCCATAACCCTGGGTCTGGGCCTTATTGGTGTGGCTCCTACACAACTCTAAATCTTCTGAGTGGATTATCTTGCTGCCATAAGTCTTCTGTACCAGTTGCAGCCCCCTTTTCTCTTTAAGCAAAAACTTATAAAAATTTTTATTGCTGAAAAAGATCATAGCATTATTTTAAAGATGATTCAAAGACTCTTAATAGTCAGGGACTTGCTTATGATCATCTAGTTATGCAGCAAGGCCCACACTAGAAGCCAATCTCCTCAATAATTCAGTACTGTCAGCCAACTCTACATCCCAAGTCCTAAAGATAAATTTTGGGTTTTTTTTTAAGAATTTTTTGGCTGATGGGAATCAAAACATAGATTAATAAAGTGCCCCATTTGAGAACTATAATTTCTAATTTTGGCTTTCGAAAGCAAGATTAGGGCGGGTGACTTATCTCTTAAGGAAGCTGCTAAGGTGACCAAGTGAATTGCTGTGCAGAATGGCTGATGTTGTCACTGTTTCTGGGTTCACACCGAAACTGAACTGTGCTGGTAATAAGGAAGTAGGAAGTGAAGCAGAATCATCATTGCTTAAGGAGTCTGGTATGCGGAGCTAGGATTCCTTACCTATTGGCTGAGGCTTCAGAGAAAAACTTTCTCATTCAAGGGCTGGGCCCCAGCAGAGAAGGGGGAGAACTGAGGGGCGTTGGGATAGACCTGTTCACCTGTGTGCTCTGGGAAGCTCATGGGAACTGTAGAGACGTCAGGTTTTCYTTGTCTGGCTTTGTTCAATACCTCCAGGAAGTTTCCATTAGTAAATGGACATTAACACTTAAGATTTCTGCTTCCCTGACTCCTGAAAGTAGTTAAGAAAATTAGCAGTGAACAGAGCCACATTCTAGGAGGCACAGACATGTCAGATTACTTGAGCTCTTGGAATCCTAGGCTCTCAGCCCTTCTTATTCCAGTAGGAATAGGTACTTTTTCACTTGTTAAGAGAAAAAAATTATAGCTTGCCAATACAATTTTATCCATCCCTCTAAAGTGTCACAGGGTCTAAAAGGAGCCCTGGCTTCTCCCTGCCTCTAGACAGACAAGTGTCCAGTCTAGACTATGTGATTTCCTGCTCTGCCCACCCCTTGAAGGACTCCAGAAATGAGATGAAGTTCTCACCCTTGTGTCCATGGCCTTATCCAACCTGCGTTTTCTATTTTGTCACATACTTCCTCAGTACCCAACTCTAATCTCTTATGCCTTAATTTGGAACCATTCCTTCTTGATTACTCATTCAGTGACAATAACTTCTTGATTGTTATTAGGTAATAATAAGCTGCTCCTTAAATTTTTATATGAGCTTTGAGTCTCTCGGAAGAAAGATACTTTTAACTTTAACAAATGGATACATAAATAAATAATCATGGCATACCTTAGACTTGGAATCCATAGAAAGGAGGGTAGAAAGGACAACCTGAGAATCTAAACCCGACATGAGACCTCACAGTGAGCTGAAGGAGTCAATTGTGGTTCACATTATTCTTAATGGTGAAAGAGCAGAGATCTGGGCTCACACAGTAAGGAAAGAGGCTGCCACTGGATTCACATGCAGTAAAACCCAACACAACCCTCTTTAAAGGGAACATCAACAAGTCAGTGACATGAGTTAGTGATTTCCAGGAGAGAGAGATAGGGGTCTAAGAAGGAGACACTGCAGGAACAGGCAGTCTCTATGACCCTGAGGAGCAGTGCATTTCTAGCAGGAGGAAAGTAAAGGAATGACTCCTAGGAGTAGCTCTTCAAATAGGATGTCAGGCCTCACTGAACGGTGGCTATCCCAGCCAGATCATTTCTGAATTTCCCAATCTTTCTTGTCATGTGGTAACCATCCTTCTGAACGTCAAGTTTATGTTATGCTCTTTATGTCATAGGCCTGCTCAGTGGTGAATATTTTCTGGACCCTGGTTGTTTATGGACACACTGATTTGCATTTTTTCTTCCTCTGTTCCTTTGCATTCTTTTTCAAAGCCTGCCTCCTCACTTACTTACATTATCATGGCACATGATAATGACAGTGACTACTACGGTATTCAGCAGAGTTCATGTCCTTGCATAATGGGCTTTTAGCCAGGCTTATTATAAGTATTTAGAGGTGTAATTCTAAATTCACAAGCACAATTCAGTAATATACTAATAGTCTGATTCTGGGATCACCTTTTTTTTTTTCAGAAATTTCTTGAAAAATTCATTGATTTTTTTTCCTCTGAAAACAACATGAATTGAGTATTGTCTCCTTACAGAATTTCTCATTGTGATTATCCTCATCTGACCAATGAGAAAGGATCAGCATGAAAGTAAGTAACAACTTTCCTTATAACTTAGGTGTTAATTTCCTCCAACCATTGTTATTTTAAGAGGTCTTAAGTATCTCTACATGGTCACTAAGAATTTCTGATGGCTTTTAACCCTGGTCACTTTTAAAAAGCTATTCTGAATGGCTGAATCCAACATTTCCTGGAGTCCTTGAGTGGGAACCACCCTTCTTTGTTTCTGTCACAAGATGCTCAGCAAGGAGCAAAGGCTGGATAACTCAGATCTCTATCACTTATGGTAAAGGTACTCAGAGGGGCTGCTCTGTGGATGATTCCAGCCAATTTGCTTGTGTCCACCACTTAGAGGACAGCAGTTTAAAAACTGAGAAAAGTTGCTTCTCTACCATCGACAGGAGAAAATGAGCAAGCATAGTACTTAGGGCCCTGGCCTTGGCCTCAGGCACCTGGGGTGTCCATTTATGGGGAGCAGAGATGCCAAATGTGGTGTGTGCATACTATGAAGTTTACTCTATAGTAGTCAGTATGATGGGTTAGGTGTGCATGCACATAGCAACATGGATAAGTCTTATAAACAAGGTAAGGAGAAAAGAAGAAGAAGAAGAAGAAGAAGAAGAGGAAGAAGAACAGGAAGAACTGGAGGAGGAAAAGGAAGAGGAAGAAGAAGACCGCTGCATATGGTGGCGCATGCCCATAATCTCAACAACTTGGTAGGTTAAAGCAGAAGGATCACAAGTTTGAAGCCAGCCTTGGCAACTTAGTGAGACTAAAATGAACACACATAAAGTTCTGGTGATGTAGCTCAGTGGTAAAACCACCTCTGGGTTCAATCCCCAGTATCACACACACACACACACACACACAAAAAAAAAAAAAAGAAATACAGAATGATAAGATATAAAACACAATAGTATTGGTATAAATTAAAATATATATGCAAACCAAACAACATGCACTTTACATGAACACATGCAAGTCAGCAATATAACTAAATTTAATTGTTTTCTATGGGGGAAGGACAGAGGAGGAGAGAAGAATAGAAATACACACATACATACACAAAAGAGGGGCCTCATATGGACTGATTATAGTATGTCATGAAATGAAAAGTGTAATCACCTTAACACTCTACACTCTAGACCTAATGAATTTTTTAAAATATTAAATGCCCTGAGCCATGCTATTTGAGTATTTCCTCCACCCAGCTATTGATACCAGTGACTTTAACAGCATGATCACAACATTTTAGTAATCTCATTGACAGAAATTTAAATCTGGTTGCCATGAGGTATCTTAAAAACATCTCTGTCCTTATCAGACTTGGAGTTGCATGATGCTATCCTGCTCTTTTTTTTTTTTTTTAAAGAGAGAGTGAGAATTTTTAATATTTATTTTTTGGTTCTCGGCGGACACAACATCTTTGTTGGTATGTGGTGCTGGGGATCGAACCCGGGTCGCACGCATGCCAGGCGAGCGCGCTACCGCTTGAGCCACATCCCCAGCCCGCTATCCTGCTCTTTAAAACATTTGGCAATTACCTTGCTTTACCTATATTATTWTATTTTATTTTCTGATAACCATAAATAGAAATGTAAGCATTTATTCTGTTGGGGATTTAATTCAAACATAATATAAAAATTATAATTATTAAATAAATAATAATTAAATATTATTTATTATTTATATAATGGGGACCACCATATTAAATAAATATATATAAAAAAAGAGGAAAGAGAGAGGAGAAAAGAAAACCTTTAATTATAAAAAGGCGGGGCTGGGGATGTGGCTCAAGCGGTAGCGCGTTCGCCTAGCATGCGTGCAACCCGGGTTCGATCCTCAGCACCACATACAAACAAAGATGTTGTGTCCGCCAAAAATTAAAAATAAATAAATAAATATTTTAAAAAATTATAAAAAGGCCTTGTTTTCTAGAAATTCTGTGCTTATTTTTTGCATCCAGCCATGGCTTGCAGCAGATGGGTCAGGCTGCCTTGGATATAGGGACAATGCCTCAGTTTCTTCAAAGATAGGTCTAGAACATTCTAAGACTAACACAATGAAAGTACCATGTATTAAAAATGTATTCCATTTAAAAAACAATATTTGAGTAATCTTAGCCAATATGTGGGTATAGTTTAAACCAAAACAAGGCCTCATAATCTTCAAAAGAGCGTATGTTCAACAGATGTCCAGTATGTATAAATTAGATTAAATGGCCTGTTAAAATCCATTAGGTACCTCTTGCCCATATGATATCTTTTGTATATCAGAAAAGATGCTTCTTTTTCTTGGATATGCAGCCTCACAGAAAGACTCAGGTGGGGCAAGTGGAACTGAATTTCAGCTCAGCTCAACCCATCAGTTGTTCAGGGCATAATGTGTACATCTGTAGGATATACCCTTGCAAACAAACTCCCTCCTTTTTCTCTTTCACCGTGTTTCCTTGTTTGCAACATCTTTCCTGTTCAGGGTAGGAAAGGCAGGCTCTACTGACCATCCTTATCTGCAAGTGGGTCATCCCACATGCTCTTTTGGAAGGTGCCTACCCCAAAGATATAGTTTGATTGCACTCTCCTTGAGATAAGATGGGCTTGGAACTTGTATTCAATGGAGCACAGCAGAACTGACACTGTGATTTCTGAGGCTAGGTCATAAAAAGTGATATAACAGCCACCTTGTTTCCTGGAACACTTGCATTTATAGCCCTAAGCTGCAATGTAAGAAGTCTGACTGGGGCTGGAGATGTAATTCAGTGGTAGATCATTTGCTTTGCATGTGTGAGTTCCAGGGTTGGATTCCTGGCACTGTCAAAAAACAAAACAAAACAAAACAAAACAAAAACAAACCAAAAACAACAACAACAACAACAAAAACTGAGTATCCTGAGACAGCTGCACTGTGAGAAGGCCAAACCACAGAGAGAGGTCATGTGCATGTAAAGTGCTTTGGTCAGCAGTCTTAGTCTTGGGGTGCTTCAGGCCCAAGCACCAGATATCTGAGTAAATAAGACTTCATATGCTTCTATCTCTCATTGTGATATCATTATGAATTGAATCTTTCCAGTCAAGGCCCCAGAATGCTTGGAGCACAGAGAAGTCATCCTCAATGTGCGTTTTCTGAATTTCTGACCCACAGAATCCAGTGTGCACAATAAATTGGTTGTTGTTTTATACCATTGAGTTTGGAGTGGTTTGTTACACAGAATAGAAAGACCCATTATCTTCAACAATACCAGAAAGTAGGGCAATTAAAAAAGGGAGAACTGGGCCTGCCATGGTGGTGCATGCCTGTAATCCCAGTGACTTGAAAGGCAGAGGTAGGAGGATTGTGAGTTCAAAACCAGCCTCAGCAATTTGCCAGGTGCTAAGCAACTCAATGAGACCCTGTCTCAAAATAAAATTTAAAATAGGGCTGGGGATGTGACTTAGTGATTTAGTGCCCYTGAATTTAATCCTGGGTATCCCCCCTCCCCCCCAAAAAGAGAGAACTTTTAGAAATTTAGAATTGGGCTGGGGTTATGGTTTAGCCGCAGAGCATTTGCTTAACATGCATTGAGTCCTGGGTTTGATCTTCAGCTTCACAACAAAAAAAGAATAACAAAGCCATAAATTATGAACTAAAAGTGACTCAAACTATAAATTCATGCTTCAGCCTGCTCTCTGCTTGGTTTTGGCTATGAGATATACCAACAAATGCATATGATATTGTTTTGCTCCAATTAGACTAAACTATTGCAGGAAGACATTTAGAAAAGTCAAATCAGTTTGACTTTCGAGTGATTACTAGATGACCTTAAGGGATTATTATTATTATTTGTTTAGATGTAATATACTGGTTATTAAAATCCCTTATTACAGATACATATGGAATATGTAAATATTTTATCAATACAGATAGAGTATTTAAATATTTAATATAAAATAGTTGAAATTTGCTTTAAAATGGAGATGAAGGAGGAGTGGGGTGTGGTATAAATCAAACAAGATTGCCACATATAGACTATTGTTGAAGCCAGGCATATATAATGGGAGAGGAGGTTATGTATTATTTCTACTTTTTTTTTTTTTTTTTTTTTTTTGCAGTGCTGGGGATTGAACCCAGGGCCTTGCACATGCTAAGCAAGTGTTCTACATCCCCAGCCCTTATCTCTACTTTTGTGCATGTTTGAAACTTCTCACAAGAGAAAGTTTAATGAAAGAGAGATGATTGGTCTTACTATTCTCTGTTCTATTCTTTCAGGGCCCCTTCCAGAGGTTTGTGTTACTTGATGCAGGTGAGGCTTCTGGACAGCCAGGACCCACCCCAACGTGGGAGATTTCTCACATAAAAAGAAACTTGCTGGGAAATTCACATTCTTCGGCATATTCTTAGGAGTCTTAGGGAACTTCTCAAATCCGTATCATTTTTGGTCAGCATAAATCCCCCTGAAGATAGAATTATCTTCCCTAGACCAATGCTGGGTACAAGGGTGTGAGRTGGGCTGCATCAGAAAATTCTTGGCAAATTGATTTGCATTAAGAAACCTGATAGTTCAGATTGATTTATCAGCTTACTCTGAAGGTTGGGCAATGTTCAGTTTTCAGCCTTGAAATATATCTGTCAGCAGAAAGATAGGCAAATGGGCTGCTTGTTGCTATGCAGTATGACGCATTCTGGAAGGTCCTTCTGTTTGCTTGTGGATCCTCTCCCCCTTAAGAAAAACTATTAACTGGTGCTGCAGCCTGCTGCTCTCTGCTCGGTTCTGGCTATGTCACCAAGCCCAAAATAGAAAGTTCTATTACTGCAGAGCAGGAAAGGAGTTTTAAATTTATCAATTCAAATAACAAAGGGTAGCATTATACTGGCTTTTCTAGGATGGTGTGAGTAGGGAGATAATGCCTGTTTCATTAGAAGAAGGAGTGATCTGACACTGGCAGGGGCTGGAAACAGGAGACAAGCTTTCACTGTGGTAAGCTGGGCTTGTTTCCCATCCTGGCTCCCCTCACTCCTTCCTTCCAACAGTGTCACCTCTTTTAGGACATGGAAAAGCAGCTGAGCCACCAGGGAATTAGTTCCAGAAATGTCACTGAAGTCATCAGATTGGGAACAATTCTCAGAGCCAAAACCCTTATCTCAGCTTTTGGAGGAGTTAGTACCTTGCCAAAAAAGTTCAACAACAGGGAGATATTAATTTTCTCCTATCACATGGAAAGAGTTTGGGGAAATAGACATTCTCAGACATTGCTGGAGGAGAGGTAAACTGATCTAATCATCTAGAGAAACCTGACAACAGGGATCCCAGACCAGAGAAACATGAATACCAAATGATGTAGATACAGAGCATCTCCCATCTCTGGTAGTAGATGTTTAAATTGATTTCCTGGAGAAATACTTGCACTTGTACAATCGAAGACATTTATAACATTGTTAGAGTAACAACAGGCACATGCGCAAAATCCTGGGAACAATGCAACTGCCCATCAATGGGAGATTGACCGATAAACCATGGTATATTTATGCTTTGGATTATTTTACATCAGTCCAAAGGAATGAACTATAGCAAAATGCAATGATATAAATGAAAAGATTACATACAGCACGTTATCCTTTTTTAAAAACTATGCTTAATTTTTAAGTTATTCTTTAGCAAAATATACAGATACATTACAAATATAGAAAAGAAAGCAAGGAAATGAGCATAGCATTCAGGATGATATACTTGGGTAGGGAGCAAAGGAAGGTGGAAGGGGGTTATGGCTAGGTACTGTTTATTGTCATGGTCCTAGATTTTTTAGGTTGTGGATTCACAGGTGCTGATTGCATTATTAAATTAATAAATTTACCACCTAAATTTATAATACCAACTCTGAGAGTATATCATGAACCAAGGATTTTGGTTAATCCAATTCTGGGTACCTGATGTGCACAAAATGAAAACAGCATTTAGCCTTTGCTGCAGTTATTCTGCTCCAAAGCATTTATCTTGAGGAAGTAAGCAGAGACCACACAAAAATTTATGAATAAGGACATTCATCACAGTATTCTATATAAAAATATAAAAATAGGAAACAATCTAAGTACCAGAACTAATAGTTGTATAAATTGGGTTTGTCAATATGCTAGAAAATTAGGTAGTATTTGAAAAATATTTTCCAATAGTAATTAAGTATGTAGGAAAATGTTCTTGTCAGTTGATATGTGTGTGTGTGTGTGTGTGTGTGTGAGTGTGTGTGTGTGTATGTGTGTATATATATATATATATATATATATATATATATATATATATATACACACACATATACACACATATCACCAAAAGCTGAGAAGACTACACATCAAAATGATAACAGTCAGGTAGAGTGGCACACCCCTATGCCTGTAATCTCAGCAACTCAGGAGGCTGAGGCAGAAGAATGGTAAGTTCAAGACCAGCCTGGATAACTTAGTGAGATTCTGTGTCAAACTAAAAAAAAAGTGGAGATGTGGTTCAGTGGCAAAGAGCTTACATAGCATGTGCAAGGCCCTAAGTTCAGTATCCAGTACTCTACCAAAATAATAATAATAATAATAATAATAATAATAATAATAGCACTTATCTATGGATAAGTTTCTTCCTTGTACTTAAAGAAGTTTACAAATTTTCTACAGTGAAATTATTTTATAATCTTTTATAATCACAAATAATTTTATTATAAAATTATTGTAATAACAGTTGTAGCTGGAGTACTTGTTATACACTAAGAGCTTTACATGGGTTATTTAAAGCTTAAAACAACCCTACGTGGATGGTACTATTATAGCCCTCACGTTACAAATGAAAATACTGAGATTTAAGGAGTTAAGTAACTTGCATAAGGATTCAAAGATCATAAGAAATGGTGCCTTATATGAGATTTCAGGGTTTCTTCAAAGTGTGGGTTGCCCTGTGATAGTCTTGGTATCCCAGACTCAGAGATGGCTGGCTACACCAGAGAGAATGATTTTCCTTCKAACAGTACTGGGAACTGAACAGCCTGAAGAGGAACCTGAAATTCACACAGAGAAAGAGGTACCCTAGGGGTTTGAGTCAGAACCCACATAAGTGGGGGGTCTAATAAGCCCTGTGGAAAAGGAGATCCCAGTGATTGGTGAGGTGAGATGTTTTACTCATTGAGCAGCCATTGTAGGATTGGCTTCCAGAATCTTGGGTGGAGAGAAGGAGGGTGCTGTAGGAATGGGATAAAGCCAGGGACTTAGCTTCGGTCTCTTCTCATCACTCATGCTTTAAATATAAGCTCTGATGTGATCAAGGCACCAGAGATAAAATGCCTTTCTCAAGCTAAGCAGGCAGGATCTGGTATCCAATTTGGACAAGATAGTGGAAAATAGACTCAAGGGGAAAAAATCTCTTGGCCTCAGAACCTGCACACAGGAGTTGAAGAATTTGACACCTTGACATTGTAGGATAAACAAATGTAGGCATAGTTTCCTATGTTTTCTCCAAAACATCTAGAGTAGATATATTTTAAGAGGGAATGGTTTTAACAGTTAATTCTTTTCTTCTCAGCTGAAGTATTCTGTATTATCCTTCAAGACGTAGCTCAAGCATCAGGTTCTATGGAAAGATTTTTCCAGCTCCTGCCAAGCAAAAAGACATCACTTTTTTGTAGACGATTAATAAGTGATTTACCTGTTTAACTGTCTGTCTCCCTCCTTGAGCATAAGCTCAATGGACTCTGGGTTTCCTCTTTTCCCTGTATCTCTCCCCAATGCCTCTCTTCCACATGTACCCCCATGCCTACCATACTTAGGTAAATTCTAATTAAATGTTGATTTTGGAACAGAGAGCTATACAGGTTACAGGTATGGTCTTCTAGAATTCCCAGAGCTGGGAATCAGACCTCTTTTTGGATCGCCAATACTTGAGAGAATGTGATGAAAGCTAAGAACCTTTCTCTAGAAAAAAAATAAAAGAAAGTATATGCAAAGAAAACTCCCAGTTGTATAGCACTATATACACATTCACACATACACAAAAACTGAGGAAATCTAAATAAGATAGATGGATTGACTATTAGTATCTGTGTTGTGATGTTGTACAATAGATGTTAGTTACCACTGGGAAACTGGGATCTCTCCATATTATTTCTTGTAACTGCTTCTGAATCTAAAACTTATCTTGATGAAACTTTCAATAAAAAAAATTCTCAAACATCATCTTTTGGGAGTTGAAGACACCTCCAGATAAACCTATTCATGAATAGAGAACTAAGTTAAGAACTGTCCAATGTAGTCCTGTTTCCACATTGTTGGATGGATAAGCCCAAAGTCATTGAGATTAATGGTGGTAGAAGTGGGATAAGCCCAGCTATTTTTTCTTGACACCACAACTAGTTCCTGGGAGGAAGAGAGTGCTGTTCACATTGTGCCATTTACGTGTTTTAAAGACAAGACAGATGTTGGACCTGGTGGTGCACACCTGTAATCCCAGTAACTCAGGAGGTTGAGATAGGAGGATCCCAAGTTTGAGGTTAGCCTCAGCAACTTAGTGAGACCATGTTTCAAAAAAAACAAAAGGGGGGTGGAGCTGGGGTCGCGGCTTAGTGGTAGAGCGTTTGCCTAGCACGTATGAGGCACTGGGTTCGATTCTCAGCACCACATACAAATAAATAAATTAAATAAAACATTTCATTAACAACTAATAAAAAAATATTTTAAAAAAGGGGGGGTGCTGGGGATGTGACTCAGTGGTAAAATGCCACTGGGTTTAATCCCCAGTGCCAAAAAAAAAAAAAAAAGAATGAAAAAGAAAAAGAAAGAAAAGTAAGATGGGCCAATTATCAGGATAACTGAAAATTTCAAATGTGGGGAGAGTACTGAGACTAGGTAAGGCAATATGTTTTCAGCCTTGTTTAATCTTTTTTTTTTTCCCTCCTTCTCACTGCTTCCCAGACTGCTTGTACTCAGTCTGTAGACTGAAATGGTTTCATTTGCAGGCAAGGTAACTTGGAAAGCCATATCTCAGAGGCCAGCAGCATTTTGATTGTGCCAAAAGAGGAGACAAACAGTGCCTCTGGGTTACCTCAGTGGGCTGGACATGTGGAGAAACATGATAGAAAGAAAATAAGAAGAAAAAGGGTATATCAGGAAAAAAGACAGCAAAAGAGCATGCTATGGGGAGAGAACTATGGAGTGGGGGATGAGTGTATTTAGGTGTATTGGGTGTTAAATGTTCATAGGTTGTGAAGGATAAATGAACTAATAATACATGCAAATCCCTTAGAAGAGTACATGACATATTGTAAGAGCTTTAATAATTGCTGGCCTTTAGTATTGTTACTACTTGACAGAGAGAGACTCATTTCCTTTTTCCCATTGCTCAAAGATAGAGGAACTTAATTAGCATTCTTCCCCTAAGAAGCAAGCATCAACTTGTAAGCATTAAACGGACCATCACATCTTTCTGTACTCACTCTCTGTTCCTTCTTTTGTTTTGGGACCCAACTTCATTACTATCTTCCAAATCAGGATTTAAAGATGAACACATAAGCACCTGGTAATTGAGGAACCTTCCTGCCTGGTGTTCCCTCTATTGTCCCTCCTGTGAAGGGATAGTTTCTTTCCATCAGATAGGTGAGCAATATGGACCTGTATTTCTAGTTGTGCAAATGAATTTCACGTTGCTGTCTAGATGCTTATATACCTGCAAATTCACCTGTTTAGAGGATTCTAATTTCTACATCTTGCCTGGAGTCAAGCTAGAGCACTGGTAAACTGCTCAGTCTGGAAAATAAAGGACAAAATGTGAACAGATTTCCCCTCTGGCTCCGTGCAATGTGCTCTTTGCAATGTGCTCCTTCACAGTGTTTATGGGAGTCTTTAGGGAATATCTCATATGGGCTCACCAGCAAATCCTCCTTCATTCACACCCCTCTACTCTAACAGGTACCTGATTTGTGTGCTGTTCTTCAATCTCTGGGAGTCTCCTTCTAATCTAGCAGGCACCCCCAATCAAGAGATCTAGCATCATGTTGGACTCATATAGATACAAGAGGACAATCCTGGGAACAAGAACAGGGTGAGCTGAGGATGAAATTAGGGTAAGTATGACATTGGTTCTAAAGGGACTGGCTGAGCTGAGGGGAGGAGCTTGTTGTAAGAGGGAAGGCTGGAGAAAAGGCTATTGGAAATGCTTTGTGAGGAGGCTATGGGAAGAGGGAGAAGGTCTTGAGAGAGTCAAGACTCCTTTCCATAAGAAAGTGGGGGCCATTGAGTAATATTCTAGGGCACAGAGGAGTCTTTAGCAGAACCATTGGCCACATGTTCTTTGGGCCTGTTATTCTCCCAAGTGATGCTTTGTCATGTTTACTTAGATATTCTGGACATTTTCTTTTCACCCTTATAAAAGCAACATGTACTTATTACAGAAGACTCAAGCAGAAAGAAGAAGAAAAGGCCCCACTCACCAGAAGCAACCACAAGTACCTCATTATATAGCTTTCTAAAGTCTCTTGTAAACATATACTTACAACATGTTTAATACAAGTGGGGCAATATCACATACACTATTTTATAAGGTACTTTTTAAACTTAATGTGTTGTGAATAATATTTTATATCAATAAACAGACTTCTGTGATAGGATTTTTAAGAGCTGCCAAGTTAGTTACAGTATTCATAAGCCTTACCCCGCATTTTGAAGTGTTAAACTTTGCCTTCCATTTCAGAAAGTTTTTTTTTTCTTTCCCTGTAACAGAAAAACATTTCCTCTGTAACTGAGAATGCTATCTGGATGTCATGGGTATCACCCTGGAACATTATCATTTCTCTYTCTTTTTTCTTTAGCCAAACCTCAGGAGCCGGGAAAAAGGTCTGTAATGTATCTGTGGCAAAGTTCCTAGCCACAAAACTTTGGACACATCTATAAAATTATAATTTCAGGTGAAGGGATATCATATGCTTTATTTCTCTGAAAACTACAAAGGAGAGGTCTAGAGATATCAATAAGTTGCACATAGCACTGGGTATGCTGAGTGTAGAAATCTGGTAGTTAGGCAGGCCCAGTTGGCCAGAGCATGGCAGGCTTTTCATGGGCAGAGCTACATGATGACTGTTCAGAACTTTATTTGGGGGTTTCTGAGGCACAGAAGGCCTAGATGAAAAGAATATATTTTCCTTTTTATGTATCGCACCCTTTTTAGGTAAGGATTCTGAACTGAAGGGAGCGAGAAACTGACCAAACCACAATGACTTTATTCCTAAGTGACTATCTCTCTATACAACAAGCCTTCTGAATGTCTACTGGTGGCAAGGAAAGAGAGGGAATTTTCTTTTCATTCCATCTCTACCTCTCCTTCCTTGAACTTATCCCCCATCTCCACTTCTTTTTTTTTTAATTTTTTTTTTTAAAGAGAGAGTGAGAGAGGAAGAGAATTTTTAATATTTATTTTTTAGTTCTCGGCAGACACAACATCTTTGTTGGTATGTGGTGGTGAGGATCGAACCCAGGCCGCACACATGCCAGGCGAGCGCGCTACCGCTTGAGCCACATCCCCAGCCCCCSATCTCCACTTCTTGCTATGGCTTTATCTCTACATGATGGTTTTGATATCCCTACATTCTCTGTTCTACCTGAACACTATGTATTTCATGGCAAGCACTGAGGGACTCCAAATGACATTAGAGGACATTTTAAATCAAAGTCCACTTAGAAACTATAATAAAAATAATATCTAACACTTATTGAATATTTATTACATGCTGCATTACATTTACACTTTCATTTAATTCTCAGAAGAATCTTATTTGCTGTTACAATTATTTCCACTTTATAGATAAGAAAACTGAGAGTCAGAAAAGTTAAGAGAACTTGCCAAACTTTACTCAGCTAGGCATTTGGAGTATGAAAAGTCAAAACCAGGTCCATATGGATCCAGAGTCATTTGTTACACTTTCTGAGTAAGGAAAAAAAAAAAAAAAGATGGAACAAAAACAAAATAAACCTAACGTAAGGCCAAGAGAATTGCTGACAGACATATCTCATTCCTTCCCCATGTTTAATGTCAATTTTTATATCTTGGCTAAGAGTGTCTTTATAAAGCTATTTGCTCAAGGTTATCCTCCTCCTACCCCACCCCCAACATCAGATGATTTTTATTTATAGCCAGGTTTAAACATCATGGGTAACACTCAGGCATGCTACATACTGAATTTGCCATCTGAGCAAAGATTCTTTCCCTAAGCAGATTTGCTTTATTAACTGTCTTTTTTTCCCCTTTTGGTCAGGAAATTAAAAGGTCAATTTTTGGTTTGCTTTTTAATTTTTTTTCCAAGTATCTCTCAGCTTTAGAATTGAGTTGGTCAGGTCAAATTGGTTAAAACCAGATTAATCAAACTTAACTTTTTTTTTCTACAGAGTAAGAAAACATTCTGGATTTCTTTTAAAGATAAAGATACCCTGATTAGCATAGTTCTATGTTGTTTATAATCATGTGTGCTTTATTTCACTGCTTGAATGCTAATAAAAGCTTCCTAGAATTCATTCCTTAAGAAGTTAAGTCATTGCATCTAATTATTTGGCAGGAAGTTTTAAGTWCATATAATTATATCTTCCTTCCCTTTTGTGATGGTGTTGAGCCAAGTAATCTGCATCAAGAGAAAATAAATAGCACCTGCATTAATGCTACCAACAAGGAGCTCATAGTATATGGGAAAAACCCTATCATTATAATCTTAGCACATGGTGGGTGTTCAGTACTTCTTAATCTGCCAAACTAACATCACCACTATTTTTGCAGGTAAGAGAACTCAGGAAAAGGAAAATTATATTGACCCTGTTCCATATTTTAGTCCTTGGAAGTTGACCGGGTGACTTTTGCAGTACGATGTTTTAAATCCTAACCACTACCTTGGACAAGTCCCTTCTCTGAGTGCCGTGGTTTACTTTTTTCCCTACCAGACAGGGCCAGTTCTCACACAGGTATATGGCAATGGTGAAGAAGAACATGAGCTGGCACTCTGGGCTACAATAGGCACGACTGGGCATGAGATGGATTTCACTCATTCCACCTGGTCCTAACTCTTATTCCTTTATTATTTGGGGATGTTAATGGCAAAACAGGATCAGAATGGGACGAAAGAACTTTTTCCCAGACTGGTAAATTATATGGTAACCTCCTGGAGTACATCTGAGGTACTTTCTTCTGGGCCCACTAATAGGAGGTACAAAAGGAAAACAGAATTGCAATTTCCAGCGTGGGGAGGCAGAGCCAGTCGGCCTTGCCAAGCAGGTTATCTTGGATGAAGGATGATTTTCAGTCCCCCATTGACATGATGCCCTCAGAGCTGCAGAATGAGAACTCTCCTCGAAGAACGCTTGGGTGTGGCGAGGTTGACTGCGATTAAGGGTAAGGACTTGGAAGACGCTGACTAGCTCTGCCTTGTCCTTTCATGGTTAAATATCCTTTGGAAAGCTTCGATACCTCTTAAATGCTGGGGGCATCATAATCTCTCTCTGTCCATTCCAAATGTTTCCAGTATTGTTAGGAGAATACAAGCCTCACCAGGGCAGGAACCTTTGTTTGTTTGGATGACCCTGCTATTCTAGGGGAATGGAATCTGGGAAACAGTTGGCACACTGTGGAGCCAAATATTTCTGTAAATGAAGAAGCAGTGTGATGTTAAAACGTTTCGCAAACACCAAGGTCCAACCCTTAGGGTACCAGAGCTTTCTTTAAAGAGCAGATCATAGCCGCTTCTACCACGCCTGGAAACGGTCAAGAAGCGTGCGCCCAGGTCCTTCGGGATTCTACTCCAGAAAGTAGGCCGGGGCGGGCAGGGTTGGTGTGTCCTTATTCTCAGTAGGAACCCGACTTGGAGGAAAGTGCACACTAGAGGCTGCGCGGGACTAGTAGAAGCGAGGCAGGGCCGAAATTGGGAGAAGAGGCCAAGCCTCGGCCCAGCCATCGCCCCTGACAAGGTGTGTGCCGAGAACAGGTGTGTGCTGGGGGAGTCAGGTACGCGGCGCGGCACTTCCCTGGCAGGTACACTCTCTTTCGCCTACGAGTGACCCAATTACAAGGTGCAGGCAGCGCCCAGAGGGGGTGGCAGTCACTCCAACTGGGCTGCGACATATCACCCKTTACTGTCCCAAAAGATGCACTAATCCTATGCAATTCCAGCGCTGTTGGATTACAGAAGAGTCACAGGGTCTCAGTTCTAGTTTCCGTTACCTGGCTGCCAACCCCCAGGTAATGCGCTAGGGATTGTTACCCAACCTGCTTCCCAAGGGAGCAGGTCTCAGAAAGCCAGGGTCCTCCACCAAAACTGCGCTTGCGCGGGACCAGCGACGGCGCCTCACGAGGTTTAGAGCTCGCGGATTAGCCGGGTTGGCCGTTTCGAGCACTGCGCTTGCTCGGACTCTGTTCTTCCCCTCCCCCATAACCCCTCCTTTCTGGGGGACCACGCCCCAAAAGCGAAGGCGCTTCAGTCACCAGCCCACTACAGTGCGCCTGCGCCTTGGCCCTAGTGTGCGCCCCGGCCCCAGCCGTGCGTCGGACCGCGGCCGGCTCTGCAGTTGCGCAGCTCGTCTCCCGGCCCGTTTCCCCTCCATTCCCTGCCGCCTCCTGACGCCGGCGTGACGTCACCACGCCGGGCGGCCGCCATTACAGAGAGTCGAGCTCCCGAGCCAAGGCGATCGGAGAAGGAGACGCAGCGGCCGGTGGCCGAGTACTGCGGAGAGAGTCATCGGGCCAGCGCCCAGCAGCTGCCAGGGGCCACAGAAGTACCCCGGGAATCGGCGGCGGCGTGTGCGTGTGGCCCGTGTGCGGGCGGCGGCGCGGGAGTAGCGCGGAGCGGCAGTCAGTTCGGGCGGGTGGCATCATGGACGAGAAGGTGTTCACGAAGGAACTGGATCAGTGGATCGAGCAGCTGAACGAGTGCAAGCAGCTGTCCGAGTCCCAGGTTAAGAGCCTCTGCGAGAAGGTGGGTTGCTCTTGTTATGAGGGACCCGCCGCGGGCCGGGCAGCCAAGGAGAAGGCTGTGGGGAGGGTGCAATATGGCGGAGTCGCGGGCTGGGCCCCCCGAGCTTCGACGACCCGCGCCGGGCCGGACCGGCCGGCGGCGGCTCCCCGGCGACCCGGCGCCCCCTGCCTCCCGCGCGGGGATTGGTTGTTGCCGCCGCCTAAAATGGCGCCGTTCACCCGACTCCGGGGCTTTGGAGCCTCGGGTCTGTGCCGGGCAGAGTGACAAGGGGGATCCGAGACCTGGAGAGTCAGGGACGGGGGCGGGTTGAGATCTCTGTGAAATGAAGCTTGTCTTCGGACGCCGGGATAGGGCCCGGTCCACCGCGGTGAGGTGGGTGAGAGGCATTTCATTAGTGCTCAGGCCTAATTCTCGGGCCAACGCTAAAGCGAGGATTCCCCAAACATAAACTTATAGGCCAGATTTCAGGACCTATGTAAAGGTCACACAGCTTTAGTCCTGCCCTTGGTGGTTTGTATAATGCTCACCAAGCAAGTCTTCAGAGACCTGTTTAAAGGGCGTCTTTAAAAATCAGAAGAATTCAGCGAAGGTCATGGTGGTAGTTACAAGGGAATAGTGTAACTTTATTTTTCATAGTTGGAAGAAATGGAGAATACGGTGAGTCATACTACATAAGGAGCTTTTGGATTGGAAATCAAATGCCAGTTTAATCTGATTTATATGCTGACTCAAATTGGGTAGTGTGAAACCCTTCTCTAAGCTTAACATACTTGGCATTTTGCCATTTATTTTTAGAATGAGCAACAAATTGGAAGAGCGTCAAAATTGGTATTCTCGCTCTTTGTCGAAAAAGTTACTTGATTTTATTTTTCTGGCTACGAGTAGTAGTTACTGGATTCCGGACTTTGTGCTTAATATTTAAATGATGTCTCACAGATGTTGAAAATGGATTGTTGTGGTCCACTTAATAACACTGAAGTATTTTCTATTACCTGATTCCGCTTTGTTTTTCCTTAGGGGTTGAGGAAACAGCCTGTTGGCTGTCGGCTATGTTGTATTTTTAAAGTTTTGTAACTGTTTTCTAAAGTATGTAGAATGTTCATTTCCACTATGAACATTTTAACTTTCCTTTTCACAATTAACTTTGTAGCGGTTCATTTTAGTATAGAATGGTGGGATGCTGTATTTTGTATTAATGGAAGAGTTTTTGGAGAGCTATTCGTGCTGACTCGCTTGTGTTTGAGTTGAAAATTAGGATCATAGGTTTGATGTGTATGTTCAGACTTTTCCAAAAACTGTGCTAAGAACAATTAGAAATTAAGTTTAATTTAGATTTATTTATTCCAAGCCTGGTCAAAACTCCACCACTAGTTGATGAAGTGGCACATCTCTTGGAATTGAATTTTAATTCTAGCAATGCATTACGTCTCCTATTTCTTTACCTTTCTTTCT